CCCAGAAAGTTCCCCAAGGCAAATCTGGCAGACTTTCACTCTAAATAGCTCTTTATGTAATTTAATTAAGTTAAGAGCTGCGAATATCCCATGTTTTTTTCATAAATAATTTAATCTGTTTATATGTTAAATATCCCCCCCCCCCCCCCCCCCCCCCCCCCCCCCCGTCCCCCCCCCCCGTCTTAAAAAAAATTCGGCTAGATCTCCAGAAATACTACAAAGCACAAGACTTTTGTGTAGCAAAACCTTCTTTGGAGCCAAGTGACCTCTCCCTCTGTCTTTGTGTTATATTCTCAAGCTAATTCAGCTGTGGAAACCGGGACAGGATGGTGCTTAGAGGAATATCATCTGTGGCTAGTGTTCTTGTTACACAGTGGGGGTGAACTAGTATTTTGTGGCCTCTGGGTTCACTTGAGGATGTGTTTATATCCTCTCTACCATGCAGGGCATTTATAACCATCCTGTGTGTTTTGTCTGCCACTTGCATTTGAATTTGGTGGGCAGTTTGCCCTGGTAGATGGTGTTTCCTGCCCCCAAATCTAGTGTGCACACATGAACACACTCTTGTTTCTTTGAGCAGCTGCCAGGTTTGTAGTGTGTGTGTATGTCTAGGGGTAGAATAGAGTGGGTAATTATTATGGGGATGAAAACACAGGATCCCCCTCCCCGCCCGTTTGAATAGGCCTTTCAGCAAGTTGGCAAAGTGTCAGCACCAGCCCCAACACTGCCTCCACAAGCAGAGCCCTGCTGGTCATTTTGCATTTGCCAGACAGTTTCTCATTTTTGATTGAACAGACCCTTTCTTTCTGCCTTCCATACGTTTTGCTTAGAAATTGGGATGTAATCTAAATAATTGGAAAATTGACTTAATAAAATGTTTTGGTATGCACACTTCTTAAGGTACTAGTGATGCATGGACTAAACAGTATTGTGTCCCTTCTCTCATTGTATGCACACACTGTTTTTGGTTTGGAGACTTTGAAATTTTTGTCAGCAATGGAATTCAGTCAACCTAGGATTTACTATTATGCCATAGTAAGTATTGCCCTAGCAATAGATGACCACACAATCTGCTTTCTTCCAAAACAATAGCGCCTTCCTCCCTCCCTTTCCCCCTTCTCCCTGTGCTTGAGGTCTAAACACAAGTAGGGCCAAAAAGCATTGAGAGCCCAACTTAATACTAATGTTAACAGGTTTTCCATGTTTTGTCTATAAAAGTGTTATGATACTTGTTTTTTTTAATACCATCAAAGATTTTTACAGAATTAGGTGCTCATGTGTATGGAGTCCAGAGGACAAATGTGGGTGTCTTTGCTTTACTTTTTGAGAGAGTCCATCCTTGAACTTGGAGCTCATTGATTGAGTTAAACTGGCTGGACAACAAGCCCCAGGGATTCTTGTGCCTCTGCTTTTTGAAGTATTAGGATTACAGGTTGGAGTCATAGCTCTCAATCCAACCTGTTTTTTTTTTTTTTTTTTTTTTTTTTAATATGAATATGTTGTTGGCTCAGACTCTGGTCATTATGCGTGTGCTGCGAACACCAACTGAGCACATCTCCCTAGCCTCCCTACATTGTTTGGACTGATCTTGCAGCATTCCTGGCTTGGCTGCAAACCCAAGTGGAAGCAAACATTCACCTGGCTGTTGACAATGATACTTAATGGCAAATAAGGGGAAATTGGGAACTTGTGTGTTGCATGTATTTTCAGAAATGGAAGGGGATGGGTCAAGTAGGTTTTCTCCTCCCTAAAGTTCATGTGTCTTTATCAAGAAGTACAGATGTGCCCACTTCAAACTGTAGGGCTACTCCTTGGAGTAGCAGACTGTCTTTGAGTAGTGGTGTAGCACATGGTACCAAAAGAGTTACACCCACTCATACCTACTTGGTTGTTGTTGGATGCTGGTAATGATAGCTGGCCACACAGTTACTCCTAGATAAGATGGCAGTTGTTGTTGGAACCAATCTCTAATTTTTTTTTTTCTTTGATAGAGTTCTAGTGGGCTAACCAGCACCTTCTTCACTATGTCCTTCCTTTTTTGTGGCTTCTGGATTTGTGTATCCATCAGTCTCCTAAATCTATGCATCTGCCCAGGCAGTGTCTAGCAATTTCATTCTGTTATACTTGCCATCTTCAAGTGCTTAACTGTCTGCCTCTTAAATAACGGGTGAAGAGTTGTGTATCTACAGCAACAGTATGATATTCTCCTGATTCTTAAAAACATTTATGGGACTCTTGTCTTCTTCTGCATGTTTGTCTTTCAATAAGCCATAAAGATGAGGTTTCAATCAAGTGCTAAGTAAGACAGGGTTTGGGGTTGAGAAAGCCATGGTACTGCTTTTTATTGTGTTTGAATCTGAGGTGATTTTTTGAGGTGCAAACCAGGCAGTTGCTATTAAAAGTTAGCATGTTTCTCACTTCTCCCTTTAAAAAAAAGTTACCTGCCCTCATCTTTCTTCCTCGTTGTTTATTTTTCTATACAACCAGGAGGAGCTTACTAAAACTCTAAAAACACCTAAGTCCTGGCTTTGAGCATTTATCCCAAATACCTGATAAAAATAATAGCTTAGATTTCTGCTCTTGTTGGCTATTTCCAGTGTTTTAATTCATACATGTACACATTCATGCACACACATAATATACCAGTGAAGATGTTATTTTTGATGAAACATGGTCCTTAAAACAACCTTTGTTCCTCCTGGTTTTTCAAGTGACATGTTGTCTCTTTATGTATGTACTCATAGATAAATTATGTTCACTCATTTCTCCTACTGGTTTACATTCACTACATTTTGTTCCTTTATATGGGCTTGTGAGATCTAGAACAAGGCTATCTTATTGAAGAATTAACAGTGCTATTTCTGTGGTTAGTTTTAGGGCTTTCCTGGGCTGTGCCGTGAAGGCCAGGCTGGCCAAGAAGCACTGGCTAAGAATCAAAATGCTTCCCATTTTGTGTCCTTTAATAATACTTAGGAGTTGACCATTGGCCTTACTCTTGCTAGGCAAGCACCTTCCACTCCTATCTTCAATTCAGTGTTTTGGTTTTCCTGGACTATTCCTGTTGCTTCTCCTTGATTTCAGGAGCTCCACCCCAATGTGACTTTTATTCGGCCTTTCTCAGGCCAAAAAGTATTTTTGCTGTAAAGTATTTTTTTGCACTAATAATGAAGTGGAGTGTGCTGCTTCTTTGGGAAAATGCTAGGCAGCTGCTGGAGGCATTGGAGTGGAAATCCCTTCACCTGTGAGGTAAAAGCTACCAGGATGGATGTAGTTCCAGCTCCCATGCATGTGTGCTTGGTAGCATCCTCTAGAAGGGTACACCTGTCTTCATTCCCATCAGTCCTGGGTTCTTAGATTTCTCCCCGCCTCCTTTTCTCATAGGGTAATATTCTGTATTCCCTTACCTTTCTTTGAGTCATCCAGTCACTTGTGACTGTACTTCAACTATTGGGCTCCACATGGTCCTAGAACTCTTGTTGTTTGGGGCCGCTAGAATCCTGGTAGGTAGGTGCTGCCTGAGGAATCAACACAGGGCTTTCTCAGTTCTGCTTTTCTCCTCAAAAATGCTCACAGTCTTCACAGATGGGGAGCAGAGCTAAGTCTCTCTCTCCTGGGGGTAATTTAGACAGTACCTTGGTTTTCATAGTGTCTGTGGGTTAGTCCTGAAGAACAAAATGTCTTCTGTTTCAACAGTGGTGGGGTCAGAGATTGTGACTTGGTTTTCTATAACCTACTCTGCCATCTGATTTGTCTTTGTTAACTTGTTTTTCATTATGACTGCATTAGCCTTTTTGGTTTTTTGAGAAAAGGTTTCTCTGTGTAGCCTTGGTGATCTTTGACTGGCTGGCCTTGAACTCACAAAGACCTGCCTGCCCCTGCTTCCTCAAGTGTTGAGATTACAGGTGTGCACCACCACCCCTGTCTTTTTACAATGCAGCTTCTTGCTGTTGTCCGTCGTCCCTCCCCTCCCCCCGCCCCCAAGTAGGAAGCACTTCTTTTTTGTTTATATGCAGGCATCATTTCTATATAACACTCTAGGACTTTCTGGGACTCAGATCTCCTTAGTACTCATTAAGAACCACCACCACCAACAAAACACACACACACACACACACACACACACACACACACACACACACACACGCAAAACGGGGTGGTGTTGGCACAAGCCTTTAATTCCAGCTCTCAGGAGGCAGAGACGGTGGGGGTTCTCTTGAGTTCCAGGACGGCCAGGCACAGAAACCCTGTCTCAGACAATCCCCCCCACCCCCACCCCCATGTGCAAAATAAAAATCACCAACAAAAAGCTGAAAACATCTGTTTGCAGAATTTGAGCCCTGTTTATTTCTTTTTAACAGGAAGAAAGTGATAGGGAAATATTAGTTGGAAAAGTGTTATGTTGTTGGTCAGAGAACAGTTTTCTGAGTTCTGGGAATTACTTTTACCCACTGTGCCATCTCTCTGTCCCCTGCTGCCCTGTAGACTTGACTCTGTAATGGATCTACATTCTCCAACCTATGAATGAATTCAGGATGATTGAAGTGGGTCACTAGTTCATTTGAGATAGAATGAACTAGTGACAGATAAAGGTGAAGGGAAGGAAACTGTGTTTCTACTTCTGAAATAGTTGATGGCCTGAGGCATGAAAGCCGCTGATCCCCTGTGATCAAACCCTTTCCATTGTTGTTGTTTTGTGAGACCCAGTCTCTGTGAAGTGAAGACTGGCATTGTACTGATGATCTTTCTGCGTCATCACTGATCCTTCACTTTCTACTACACACTTTTACGGAACACACATAAAACAACAGCCACATTTATTGCACCATAAAGCAGGCTGTGGATTATGAGCGTATGGGGGAGATAAAGGGCCTTAATCAGTAAGAGTTGTCTCAAAAAGATTTTCTTTTTGTTCCTCCTGTATCATGGTTTTATTGCTATATGTAGGCCTATATTCTCCAGTTTCTGCTTAATTTAGATTTAATTTTCTTTTGCTGTTGCAGGCCCAGGCTGCAAGCACAAAGGAAGTTTGCTCAATCTCAGCCGAATAGTCCCAGCACAACTCCAGTGAAGATAGTGGAGCCTTTGCTACCCCCGCCAGCTACTCAAATTTCTGACCTCTCTAAAAGGAAGCCTAAGACAGAAGACTTTCTTACCTTTCTCTGCCTTCGAGGTAAGCTTGCGGTGCAGATGACACCCCCGTGTTGGCCTCATGTCTTTGTTCCCCGCTTGCTTCGAGGGCAGCGTTTTGTTTTGGAAGATGGAGTCTCACTATGGAGCGTTTGCTGGACTCGGGGTATATGAGGCCTGCCAGACTCCACCTTCTGAGAGTACTGGGATTAAAGATTTGTGGCCCTGCTCCTGGTTCTGCAGTGTTTTATTTAGGGATTTAGTTTTTTCTTTTTATGTGCATACAGGTGCGTATGCAACATACACATTATTTTATTCTTGTATTTGCATGTTTTATTTGCACACATGCCTGTGCCCCACATGTAAGAAGGTTTTGGATTCTGGGGAATAGAGTTACAGATGGTTGTAAGCCACTGTGTGGGTAGCAGGACCTGAATCCCACTTTTTGTTATTTTTTGTTGTTTGTTTGTTTTTCTTTTTTTCCTGTATGCAATAAATCAAAGACCTAGAAGGGATATTTTTTGGCCAAAGACTTGAGTCATTCCTACAGGCTTCAGTTATTTCTCTTGATAGTTTGGAATATTGAAGAGAATGAGTGATGGGACCGTGGGAAAGACAGCAAGGTTCCCTAAACCTTGTTTATTATCTGTGGATGACACTGGTGCCAAAGACCATGTGCTCTTTTGAAAACTCCCTTAGGAATAAACAAAAACCGTGTGGCTGGAGTGTAGGGAGTTGTAGTTAATGTATATACCATGTAGGTGTTTGTGTTGGAAAGCTTTAGAGATTAAAAACTAAAATGTTCCAGGCTCAAGTCACCAAGAGACTGTCAGCCAAACTAGCAGGACTTGTTCCTCTCCTCTCCTTAGTTCCATGTTCTAGAACTCCTTAAGGAAATGCGGTGGACCTGGAATGTTTGCCTGCCCCTCCCCTACCCCCCTGCTTTTTTTTTTTTTTGGCCAGAGGCCTAATTAGTATCTTCCAAGGTTGCACATGGGCAAGACAGCCTAGCCTGTATGTGTGCTGTGAGCTTCCACTCAATACCACTGCTATATTTCCAGCCACCAGTCTTGTTATTCTTAATGAGTTCTGTCTTCCTCTCTTTGTTCTGACTGTAATTATTAACAGATTTAAAAGAGCTTAATGCAGCAGAGCAGTGGCAGGTTAAATGATTTCTCTTATTTACATTTTTCTTTTTATGGGGTACTGCAAGCATGGGGGATTCCCAAAAGGTAGTCATGAACCATAACAGCACACAGTTCATTCTTATGACCATGGCTGTTACAGTGCAGTCTTCCAGCTCTGCCCAGTGAAAGCTGGCACTGAAGGTATGGGAGGGAGATTCCCAGTACATATTCTAATATAGGTATTGTAAAGCCAAGTTGTCTTGTCTGGGGGCTGACTGCCTTGTTTTTCCTCTTATGGAATCTCCCATGATCTGCTGGTTAATTCCAACAACCTTTACTGAACTTTCTTTTTATACGAGATAGTTAAACAGATCAGGCATTAGAAAGCTGATGGGTAACACAGGATATGTTATAGGATAAATGAGCATGTCAGGTAGGTCTGGGCCATATGTAAACAGGTGGAAAACTGTCTTAGGTTATATGTAGTGACTGCAGAAAGGGAAGACATATCTAAGCTTGCTCTTGCCCAAGATATTGGAAACTTTTCGTGTAAGGTTCTGGGGCTGGGAAGGAATTCTGCCGAAACCTCTGCCAAGGCCCACGTGTTGGGAGGATTAGGGTTGGTTATTTGGAAGGCCCAAAGATTAAAGCAAGAAAGTTAGGATTTGGACAGGTTTTGGGTTAAGTAGGAAGATGGTCCTGGCAGTAAGTGCTTCAGAACATGAATGAGACTGCAGGGAGTGAAGTTAGTTTGGGCCTTTGGGATGAATCTATCCCTGGATTGTTTGCTCCTATATAAAGTACCGGGTATTCTGGTGTCTGTAGTCACAGTTTCTAGGTGTGTGAAATGGGTTCCAATAACTGGTGCACCTTGAATTTATAGAGGTAGCAGAGAGGATAGTGGATTAGATTTGCGATCTGGGTAGTCTTTTCTCAGATAAAATGGGAGGAAGCTCACAAGTAGAGCTTTATCTGTAGACAATGCCTGTCCCTACTTGGAAGGAGTACACACTTTGTTGTATTACTGGCCTTGAGTATTGAGGAGGAGAATTGTAAGAAAAGTAGGGGTGGGGAGTGGGTGATTTTTAGAGGTTGCATAATGAGAGGGAATTACCTGCAAGAAAGTAATTAATCTCCCAGTTGCAAAGAGCATTATGGTTGCTAATTGCAAAATTTCTTGAGCAAAATAGGAATGTCTTTGGGGTGGAAGACAAGTGGTCTTAGTGATACCCATGAGTTTGGGGTCACCACTTTTATGAGGTAATATCTGAGCATAGAAACTGTCAAAGTAGAATTCAGCCTGCTCTGCTGCTTTCTGTGTCCTCCCTGCCTGCCCTCTGCTTTCTCCAAGTCACTTGAGTCTGATGTTCTGTATTCTCCTAGTGTCTCAGTTCTGCTAATATAGTAATTTGTTTGCTAGTAATGAAGAAATCAGAAACCTTGGAGTTCTTGATCCGAGAAGGATGGATCTTCTTTTAATTGACTTGTGACCTTGACACTGAAGTTTGGCCTGGCTTCAGGCCAGCTGGCTTATGACCATGTCTGCTCTGCAGGAAGATGAAACAAACTCGCGCTCCCTGCCAGGTGGCTGGCCTGGCTTCAGGGGTACATTCCAGAATACTCTCTATCTTTTGCCTCAGTGTCTAGAGAAGGTCTTACTGTTTCTTGGGCCTTTTGAAATCCACTGGGAGAAGGCATATGGGGATGGAAGATGGTGTGGTGGAAATCTCTGTGCTAGCATTGCTGTTGTTTTGGCCAGGCACCTTGCTGTATATAAATTTTATCCCATGGTTTGCTTGGAAACCCCTGCTGCAGGCTTGTGCGCTGTAGGAAACTGTTTAGTGTCTCTGGGAATTTGAAAAGCCTTTGCATAAATCATAAATTCATATTCAGACTTGATGGTATATAGTAATTGGAAGTTGGCAAGTCCAACTTAAGTAATTTCCACTTCTCAGCTAATGTTAATCGTCTTGTGGCTAGGAGCTACTCAGGCTGAACACCATCATAACTATTGTGTGGTGTGGTTTGTCTGTTAGCATTAAGACACCACAGACTTGTGGATTTGACTGTAAGCATGTGTGAGAATTTTTTTTAAGATTTATTTATTATGTATACCGTGTTCTGCATGCATATACACCTGCAAGCCAGAAGAGGGCACCAGATCTCACTGTAGATGGTTCCGAGTGACCATGTGGTTGCTGGGAATTGAACTTGGGACCTCTGGAAGAGCAGCCAGTGCTCTTAATCTCCGAGCCATCTCTCCAGCCCTTGTGTGGGTATTTTCACGGACGTGTGCATGCCTTTTCGGATGCTCTCACACACATATGTGGTATTGGTGATCATACTTTCTTGAGCAAAATGTCTCTTTGTATACAAGGCTTTTAATATCTCTTTTGTGAGGTGTGTTCCATAATGATTGCTGCGTCTGTGTCTGTATTTGAAGCTACCTGTACAGAGGCCACTGGGAAAACTTTGGAAGGTGCTATGTCTGTCAGCCTGAGAAAAATGAGAAAAAATGGAAATAGAACCCAGGCCTCCACACAAGGAATTTGCTATATTAGGGATTAGACAGACAGCACCTGGTTGAAGATGCATTTAGGGCAGTGTCAAAGAGGGACCTTAAGTCTTTATTTTCAAACTTCTCTAGAACCTGGCCCTTTTACCTTTATCTATTTGGGAAAAGAAAATGTATATAATAAGAATGGCATTTTTTTAAAATTACATTTATTTAATTGGGAAAATAATTCAAGGTCAGAAAACAGCTTGATTCTTGCTTTCTACCATCATGGGTCCTTGGGACTAAACTCAGGCAGTAAGTATGTTTATTCACTGACTGAGCCATCTCCCCAGCCTGAATTGCAAATTTTATAATTTATGAGTTGTTTTTGAAGACTAATATTTACATGACACTAGCAGTAGCCTAATACAAGAGTGCTGAAACATACATTTCTATGCAGCTTTGTGGTCACGAGATTAGTTTTAGCTAAATACACTGTTCACACCACAAAACTGGCTTCCAGAATCAGGGCTTTTTCTTTAAAATCTGGATGCCATGGAAACTATTTTCATGATTGGCACAGTTGTGATTGTCAGGCAGTTCTTTTCTCATTAAAGGTGAGTTTTCTTTTGGATAAAGCTGTTACCTCTAGCCTCCTCCCACTACACACACACACACACACACACACACACACACACACACACACACACACACACACAC